AATTCGTGAACAGCAACGGACATCTGTCATAAGTCAGTTTATCCAAATCTTTATCCAAAACCTGAATTCACAAGCAAGAAACGAGGTGTCTTATTTTCTGAAATGGCTGGGCATCCTGCTGGATGACTACACAGCTGAAAGTCTTTCAGCCCTTCTTCATCAGTATGATGAAAAATGGTCAACAGTCCTAAATCTCAAAAAGAAACAGGATAAATTGCAGCAACTGAGATCTGCACAAGTAGAACTTGAGACAGTATCTGAGAAATTACAAGCTGCAACCTTTGGCTTAGAGCACATACTGAGAGAGATTGGTCAGATATATGAATCATGTTCATCTGTGAAGAGGAACAAGAAAAATATGACCTTTGACTTCTCTTCTCTCCCGAGTCTCGCAGCTGAGATGATGATGTCTGGATTTCCACTGGAGCTGATGGATGGGGACGCTGCCCATGTTCCTCTGATCTGGGTTACTGCTGTTATTGATGCACTCATCCAGAAACTGGGAGACCAGAGAGTCTATGTGTTGTCTGTTTTAGGGATTCAGAGCTCTGGGAAATCCACCATGCTGAACGCCATGTTTGGACTGCAGTTTGCCGTCAGTGCTGGCAGGTGCACCAGAGGAGCTTTCATGCAGCTGGTCAGAGTATCAGAGGAGATGAAAGCACAGCTGAAGTTTGACTATATTCTGGTTGTTGATACTGAGGGACTTCGTGCACTAGAACTGGCTGGAAGGTCAACAAGAAATCGTGACAATGAAATGGCTACATTTGTTGTTGGTCTCGGAAATATGACACTGATCAACATCTTTGGAGAAAACACAGCTGAGATGCAGGACATTCTTCAGATTGTTGTTCAGGCCTTCATGAGGATGAAGAAGATCAGACTGAATCCAAGCTGCATGTTTGTCCATCAGAATGTTTCAGATGTCACAGCCGGAGAGAAAAACATGGAGGGACGGAGACGACTGCAGGAGAAACTGGATGAGATGACGAAACTGGCTGCTAAAGAAGAAGAATGTGATACAGAATTTTTCAGTGATGTCATTACATTTGACGTTCAGACTGATGTAAAATATTTTGCACAGCTGTGGGAAGGCAGTCCACCAATGGCACCACCAAATCCAGACTACAGCAGAAATATTCAGGAGTTGAAGGACACCATTCTCTCAAAAGCTTCTTCATCTGGCGGAATTACACTGTCTCAGTTCAAAATGCGTATTAGTGATCTATGGAGTGCACTGCTAAATGAAAGCTTTGTGTTCAGCTTCAAAAACACGCTTGAGATTGCGGTATACAGAAAACTAGAAACTAAGTACAGTGACTGGACATGGAGCCTCAGAAGCGCCATGTTAAGCATTGAAGACAAATTCTACAACAGAATTGCCAACGGGGACATTAATGTTCAGGAAAAGGACCTGTTGGCTGACATGAGAAAGACAAAAGAGCAGGTAGACAAATCAATGATGTCTTACTTTGAGGAGGATAAAGACAAAGAAATTCTCTGTCAGTGGCGAGGAAGATTTGAAACCAGAATCAATGATCTTCATGATGACCTTGTAAAGGAAACAAAAAGAAAGTTAGATGAAACAATTGAACAGAAAAAAGCCAGGGAAAAGCTGGATCAAAAAAGGACAGAGTATGAAAACAAGCTTTTCAGTCGGAGCAAGGAATTAGCTTTGAGCCTGAGAAATACAGGAACAGATGAAAATATGCTGAACAAGGAGTTTGACACAACGTGGAGCAAATGGGTCACTGAAATGACTAAAGATACTCCTCCACTGAAAGAACTGAACTTCTGGGACGATGTGACTCGGATCTTATTTGAAAATCATTTAGACTTGACTATTGTGCATGAGCGGTTAAATCAGAAAGACTATGAACAGATCGTCCACAGGAGTGATTATTGTGCCTACATAAGACTGAAAAAGCATCTAGAGCATTCTGGTGAAGCTGTATCTTCAGAGGAGGCTGGCGAGAGCTCTAAGAAAAGCAAGAGTGGATTCATGCAATGGTTTGGTCAAAAAATCATGTCTGGTATAGAATATTTTGGAGGGACTCAAAAGTCACCAGAGAACCTAAATGCTGAATGTCATAACTCAATTAGGCGTCTGACTCAAAAAATTATTCAAGAGACTGAGATGATAATGAAGAAGTCACCAGTCGGAACACGAGGCTACAATGATAGTTACATTCAGGAAATAACAGACTGTGTTCAAAAGTCAGTAAAGCAACATGAATCCATGAGGCAAAAATACACACTGAAGAAAGAGTTTAGCATAGATCTCAGTCTTTATGTTTGTGACATTGCAAGACAGATGTTTACTAAACTTCACAAAGAATTCAGAGAAGCAACTGACCCGAGAATTTATCTAGAGAAGCAGAAAGCTCAATATTGGAGCATCTTCAAGAACTACTACAAAGGAGCGACAACAACAACCATACTGAGTGAATTCATCTGCGGCAAACTTGGGCCATCCATCCTACAAGCGGTTTACAACAAAACTGCTATTGATTTGGCAGCACAGATGAGGTCTGACATACCAGCATTACGTGAAAACAGACCAAATCTGGAGAAACACATTCTGAAATCCCTTGCAGAAAAGGAGGATTTTGGTCAGTACATAAAATACATTCATAATCCCAGAGAACACTTTAAACAATTCATAAAAAATGAGGTGGACAGATACTTCACCAAACAAAACAAAATGATTATAAAACTTTTCAAAGGAAATCTGACACAAAAAGAGCTGATTGTAAGTAACGCGATTAAAGCAGCTACAGTGGAGGTCAAGAGTCAGGGCGGAGACGGCAACATGTGGTTCAGATGCTTCACCACAAGCCTGACAGATGAGCTGAAACTCACAGAGAACTCGTGTGGTGATCTCAGCGAGATTAAAGACTTGGATTTTCTTGAGAAGCTTTTAAGTGAGAATCTGAAGAAAGGCACGAAGCCGCAGAACAGCTTTACAAGCATTAATGACATGAAAATGTGCAGGAAAAGACCAGATGAGATTTTGATCGACCACTTCTGTCAGTGCTGTTGGGTTCAGTGTCCTTTCTGTAAAGCCATCTGCACCCACACAATAGAAGGCCATCCTGGAGATCACAGCGTTCCGTTCCACCGCAACCTTGGACTGAATGGATGGTTTTACAGAGAAACAACAAACTTGTCTGTTGATATCTGCACAACAGCAGTAGCGAGTGATCGGTCTTTTTATCCAAATTCCTCAGAAGATGCAGTCCCTTTTAAAGATTACAGAAAAGGAGGTTCTAAATATGCTGACTGGAGCATCACTCCAGATCAATCTGAGCTGCCGTACTGGAAGTGGTTTGTGTGCAGATTCCAGAAAGATCTGGAAGAGTACTACAGTAAAACATTCCAGGGACATGGTCAGATTCCAGATGAATGGAAAAAGTACACAAAAGAGGATGCTCTGGAAAGTTTGGATAAATACATGTAATGGCACTCTTTCAGATCCCTGTTTATGTTTTGACATCCTGTTTCACAATATTGTTTCTGAACTGGTAGATGCAGTACATTGTGCTTTTGTAGGAGTTTTTTTTTCTGAAAAAAAAAATGTATACTGAAGTAACACTGCTATGATTTTTATTTAGAGACATGGATCATCATAGTTGGGAGACACACATGTTACTGTTAAAGCCAGTGGGAAATGTTTAATGATTTATTCTGTCAAATTATCCTTAGATTATAAAATAAAAATAAAAAGGGGTTTTATTTTTGTGTCTCTATCTCCATGAAGGGAATTGGTGTATGTAGTGATGTAGTAGATGTGATTGACAATTTTAATTGTATTTACTGTTGTTGTTTTTAATGTTGATTTCATATAATGATGTTTGCAAAATGATGTTGCTTGTATCTTTAAACCTCAACCACATTTCACTTATCAGAGATGAAAAAGCACCATGATTTCCTTATTGTTAATCTCTTTGATCTTTTGAAATCTGTGAGCTGTACTCGGTTATCACAGAGATGTAGTTCTACATGTTTTATTAAATTGTATGAGGATGCAATATCTGAATAAAGCTGAGTGAATTAACTGAAGTTTGATATCCTATATTTTTTTGTTACCACTACACTAAAGGGTATATGTAAAGAAAGTATAAAAAAAAATCGGAATGCATTTATGAACATGCTAGCTTTAGTTGGGACCTACTACAACAGAACAAGATAGACATGTTTATTGGAAAATACACATTATAATAAAGTTGAAACTGCAAAGACATTTAATAAAATGCATAACAACATTTAGCCTAAGTTTAAACATACAACTTCTTCACATTTTAATATCACCAACTGTGGCAAATGTCTGCTCTATATGTATTCTGCTGCATATGATACTCACGTCAGCTGCTCTTAAAGCAGTCACATTCATTCACAGGAATCACACTGTTTTAATATTAATATCAAACCAGAAAAAAAACTACATAAAATGTTATCCAATAAAGTATAGGGTTAGGTTTATTTATCAAACTGTGCATTTAGTTATCTGTGTTGTGTTTATTAATCCTTACATCCTGAAGGCATTTTAAAAGGCTTTACACAAAACTTAAAATTAAAACATAAGGCTTATTTAAAAGAAAAAAACAAGGTGGGAACAATTCCAGGGCAACATTTGATAGAAAGCCTTTCAAAAATTGTCATTATTTATGTTTGAAATCAAGTAAGGTCTTGTTCACAATGAGTTAAATCAAGTTTGTTTGATTTTGAGACTTCCAAAATGTGCATCCCAGATTATTCTAACATCCTGATTTTTCATCCTGTACGTAGTATACATTTGAACTTGTGTTATGTTTTGTGCTATGTGTTATGTTTGTGTTATGTTATGTTTTTACATTTAATATCTAAGGGTCTAAAAAAAATGTCAAATTCTTGCAAATTAACTGTTTAAGAGGGAACAATTAATTTAGGCAAATCTGCTCGTTCTCAAATGTACTCAACCGCGGCCTCTAGTGACAGATTTCAGGCCCAACATACACCAGAGCGTCTTCCTCTGTCCCCCGGAAGTGACGCATTCTCTGATTGTCAACATGCAAGATGGCGACTCATCACAGACAGAACGCTGCTGGTCGGAGGAAAGTCCAGGTAATCATTTACACATAATATTTCGGAACTTTAAAACTATTTATTACAGAATTCTTACGTGTTTCAGCGAAGTGTCGCCCAATGTAGTGTCCACAATACTTACAAACCGAAACATTTCCGCCCTTTCAAAAATTACTGTGGTGTTACCATAGTACAGTGATGATATCACGCAGTGGCATACAGGCATTTGTTGGTGTGTCCAAATACGTTTTTGGGCCACAGCACAATACAGATATATGATATTGTAATTGAATGTATTTGTATACAGCTGTCTGCTCAATAATTCAATTATTTAGATAAAAACATGCTTACATGTTACAGATTTATGTATAGCCTTAAAATCAAATGCTAATCTCCTAATGACTGATTTACAAGACAAACAACTGGTTCCAGGCTCTCTGTGTAATTAATTTTTCTATAAATTTAGTTTATAGGCATTTTTGTAGACTAGTTGCATGTAATCTCTAGTTGTCTAATAAATATATATATATTAATAATGATGATTTTACAGGTTTCCTATGTGATTCGAGATGAGGTGGAGAAGTACAATCGTAACGGTGTGAACGCTCTTCAACTGGATCCTGCTCTCAACAGACTCTTCACAGCCGGCCGAGATTCCATCGTCAGGATATGGAGTGTCAATCAACACAAAGTACAACCAGCATTCTCATGATTTATGAATATTGATGCACTTCACTTGTCCCTTTCTTTTGCTACTTTGTGACCATATCATCCATTTTCACCATCAAAATCATTAATTTTTTATAGTTAAATCATGTTTCTGATAATTCCAGCTTTATGTGCTACTGTACTGACAGTTGTTTACTATTACAGCAGGATCCTTACATCGCTTCGATGGAGCATCACACTGACTGGGTCAATGACATCATTCTCTGTTGTAATGGAAAAACATGTACGTTTAAGCACTTCAAAAGATTTTTACAGGTTTAATGCTCAGATCTCATCAAATATATTCTAATTATTAGACAGTTTCAGTGGATTGTTCTGTGTTGTAGTGATCTCAGCCTCCTCGGACACCACTGTGAAAGTCTGGAATGCACACAAGGGATTCTGCATGTCCACGTTACGGACGCATAAGGTATGTTTCATATTTTAAACTTAAATTGTTGTTTTAATTTTTTAAAGAATTACACCTTTTATGCTTTGTTACATTTTCAAGTTTGTGTATTGTTGCTGTAATGTTCTGAAACAGTTACAAAGGCACTCCATAGGGAGTTATTCTCTATATCAGTGTCTCTGTTTCTGAACTCCCTGAAACACATTTATTGTAGTCTTGAGTTTTCTTTAAGGAACGAACACGTCACAATATTCCTCATTTAAATAAATCTCAACCAAGGCATACGTGAAAAAAAGGGCGAGGCCTTGTTGAGTTGAATTGCATTTTTGGACATTCAAGCATGAAAACCTATTCCAGTAGACCCCAAAAACAAAACCAAGACTTAGTAAAAGGGAATAATATGGTCTCTTTAATTATGCTAATGGTAGTCAGTCCACTTTTGAGCTTCCAGAATTTGCCTAGAAAACAGAGTGAGGCTACTTTGTTCTGTTTTTGTGTGCAAAATTTCTATATATGAGACTTATGACTGTGTTGATGGTGACAGTGGTTGTGATTCACACTTCAGGACTACGTCAAAGCTTTAGCATATGCGAAAGACAAGGAGCTGGTGGCGTCAGCCGGGCTGGACAGGCAGATCTTCCTGTGGGACGTGAACACGCTGACGGCTCTGACTGCCTCTAATAATACAGTCACAAGTGAGAAAACCGTCTTTATCATAACTCTTGACACAATCTTCCTTATTCACTGAGTTGGAGTCAAGCAGATGAATGTGAAAAAGAGAGTGCACAAATGTGTGTATATTTTCTGTGACAGCATCCTCACTGAGTGGAAACAAGGACTCCATCTACAGTCTGGCCATGAATCAGGCAGGAACCGTGATCATCTCAGGATCCACAGAAAAGGTTAGTCTTATGATGTTTTACTTTCACATTTGAAGGAAGGACATTTTTCATTTATGTGACTGGAGGCAGGTTTAAATAAAAAAGGTTTTACTTGCAGAATGTGTTTTTTCACATTTCTTGTTATGGCAGGTCTTGAGGCTCTGGGATCCACGAACATGTGCAAAGCTAATGAAGCTGAAAGGCCACAGTGACAATGTCAAATCATTATTACTAAACAGAGACGGCACCCAGGTAGGACTTATACAGACATTATTGCACACTTTGAAAATATTTAAAATGTTTAAAGGGATATTTCAGGATTTAGCATTATGCTTTGTATTGGTAGAAAACCAGTAGTATTTTCGAATTACCGTGCTTTCCACCCTCATATCCCCCTGAGACGAGAGAATGATGTATTTTTTGTCTAGAAAAAATCCTCAGATGACGCAAAATGACGACTTGTGCTTCATCTGAGGATTTTTTGGGCAGAGGCTAAAGACTACAGTCAGTATTCGGGTCTGTCCCGCATGTTCTCAACCCGGCCATAGAGGGCGATCTCACTCACAGAATGAACACATAGTGTCGGCCATCTTTTTTTAGAAGCTAAGCTAGCAGGCTCTTGATCTGTGGAGAAAGCTGAGTAGTCGGGGTTACCATCCTCTTTTTTCCCGGACATGTCCGGCCGTCAGTGTCCGAGATTCAGCTTTTGCTTTCTGCAGTCGACATTCATTGTTTACATGCACAGCTTTTGTTTCAATCTAACTAAATTCATTCCGATTGGTGAATCTGAATGTAGTGTTTACATGAACGCTAAACAAGTGATGTGCGTTTTAACATTGTTTAGAAAATTCCCGCTCCTCCGTGAGAGATACGAGACCGGTGCGTCTCACAGGTGTCGCTCATCGGTAATCACGTCACCGGCCTCGCGCCGTTCTCCCGCGGCCCTCACTCGTCCCACTCGCCACAGGAAACATGATGAATGGCGACTGTAAAACGCAAAAGCGGAAACCCGGACATTTTGGGCGATCTGGAAACACATTTTCGGGCAGACTCATCACGGATACTCACTAGTAGCCTAGACTTGTTTTTTAACTACTGGAAGTGCATTCTGGGAGTTGTTGTCTTTCATCTACATAAGCCAAAAATACATTTTCTGGCTTTTCTCACATCGAAATTCCAAATTCAAAAATAATTTCTCATTTCTTCTACATAAATGACCCATTTTAAATACACATTCATCTTTTCAGAGGTGAAGTATCCCTTTAAATATGTTTTTGCTATTCAGGCTACTAAAAACTGAATAAAACCATTGACTGACTCTGCTAATGTTATCCGCGTGCTGTGTATCTCTGTCTAGTGTCTCTCCGGTAGCTCAGACGGCACGATACGCTTGTGGTCCCTCGGCCAGCAGAGATGTATCGCCACATACCGGGTCCACGATGAGGGCGTGTGGTCCCTGCAGGCGAACGAGGCCTTCACACACATTTACTCCGGAGGACGAGACCGAAAGATCTACTGCACAGATCTGAGAAACCCTGACATACGTGTGCTCATATGTGAAGAGAAAGCTCCTGTCCTAAAGGTGAGAGCGAGCTTAAGATGCATAGTGCTTGAAAATAAAGAAATGAAAGGCTACTCTTATAATTTATCTGATGCTCTGTGCAGATGGAATTGGACAAATCAGCCGACCCTCCTCAAGCCATTTGGGTGTCCACAACTAAATCATTTGTGAACAAATGGGTGAGTTACATAACCACAATTCAGATAGTTCTTTTCTTAAAGCAAATGTTTATAAAATTTTGTAATTATTCAGCCTCAATATGAATTGAGCGACTGTATTCATTTTTCTCAGTGAATACTTATCCTAACCCTAACAAAACAGCCGAATTGAAAACTCATTTCTTCCTTGAGTACTTGTTTGCATGAAAGTTCTTGCATATGTGAGCAATGATGAAAGTGTTTTCATTTCAGGTTAAATAGTCAGTTTAAATATACATATAATCAGAGATTCTTTACACGAATGAAGGCCTTAAGGTGTTAAATCAGAGCTGAAAATCAGGAAGTCATGTCATTAAATCTGAAATGCATCGCAAAGATATCTTTCTCAGTATTTTTGTTTTCAAATGCAAATATCTTGTCATCTATCAAGATGCATGTACTTGAGATGGAAATGTAAAAAAAAGTCTTGACAAATGTATAAAAAGAAATTATAAATTGATTGAATTTGTGCTTAAAACAAGAACAAATAATCTGTCAATGGTGAATGAAAATTTCTCTTTAAATGAGAACAAATATCTGTCAGTGGGGTCAGAAATTCAAATCTTGAACTCACCTAATTGATCAAATTTACAGAAAGCAAGACTTCATATTCTATGTAATTTTACTTCTGCAGTAAATTCATCTTGTATTTACTGTATTTAGACATTTGCACTGGAAAACAAGACACAAATACTGAGTGAAATTATTTTTTTGAGGTACAGAAAAAGTTATTTCCATTTCCTAGTGTTTGGGAGCAGAACTATTCAAGCTACCCTAAACCCTTCTTTTCTTTAAAGTGAATGTATTTTCAAACTTTGAAGTGTCACTAATACCACTCCTTGTCTTCTTCCCTAGACATTTACAATATGAGAACATATTGCGTTCGCTTCAAATTATTCCTTACATTTTCTTTACTTGGGCTTTTATAAAGTCTTACATTTACCTTCAGAAACCCTCTATAATTAGACATTAGCTTATAGGGCTGGGTAATAAATATCGATTTCTCGATATTAATCGATTCTCATTTTTACGAACCGATATCGATTGTTAAATCTCAAGAATCGATTAGTCATCCTATTTCATTTGAATGAATGGATCATTGTATCGCGGCTGCGCGCATCCAAAAAATCGCAATAATCTTTGTCATTTGTTACTATTGATATGAAACAAAGTCTCAATTTTCAAATTACGTCCATTTTCTTTAGAAATTCAAAAACATAAATAGTGTTTTGGCGCTGCGGCGTGAGATCGTGAGCATTTTGCTAAATATATACACCATATTATGTGCATTATAATCTTAATGTTCTTCAATATTTAATGCATATTTGAATAAATGGCAAGTTTTTATGACATCCACCATTTAAATGTTTATATTTCATATAATCTTATCTTATAAAAATAAATAAAAGTGTATTTTAAGTGTTTGTATAGCTATTAGCTACAAAACAGTTAATTATTACCTTCATATTAGGCTAATGAAGCCTATAGGCTACAACTAGACTCCCATAGTTTACAGCATTAGTTAAGAGATTTGATTTCCTTGAGAAAAAATGCCATTTATTGTAACTGATATACAAAATAATCTATATTGAATCGAATCGAAATCGAATCGAATTGCAAGCTTGTGAGTCGAAATCGAATCGAATTGTGAAATTTGTCTCAATACCCAGTCTTATTAGCTTATGCCTAAGCACAAAACTGCAATCTAATTTAAATGTTGGATTACATCATTCAATCACCTTATGTGTATTTGTCTTTCTTTGTCATGATCAGTCTCTAAAGGGCATGCATAACTTCAGAACATCTGGAGAATACGACAACGACTGCAGTACCCCACTGACTCCACTGTGTACACAGCCAGAGCAGGTCATCAAAGGTGAAAGACCATCAGTGTTCGCTAGAACAAGCGTCTGACCTTAAAGTGGTGTTGTTCAATAGTTGTTGTTTGTGATAGACACCAAACCCTAGTTTTTCCAGGGAAATTGTACAAGGAACATGTATTAAGTGTGTTGTCAGTTGCTTTGGATAAAACATCTACTGTTTTTTAATCTATAGTTGATTGAAACTTGTATTGAACTGAGTTTAATTTAATTTCAGGGGGCACCAGCATCGTTCAGTGTCACATTCTCAATGACAAGAGGCACATACTCACTAAAGATAGCAATAACAGTGTGGCCTTCTGGGATATCCTTAAGGTAAGTGCAGATCATGAGAAGCTTGTGTGGGATCTTTTGAAGAACCGATATGTAATCATGTTCTGTGTTTTAAGGCATGTAAGGGGGAAGACCTGGGCAAAGTGGACTTTGATGAGGAAATCAAAAAGAGGTTCAAGATGGTCTATGTGCCGAACTGGTTTTCTGTAGATCTCAAAACAGGGGTGAGTAAAAGAGCCAATGCAATTTCCATTAGCACCATGTTTTTCAGGTAAAATATGTGTTGAATATGTTTTTGCTGTTTTTCAGATGCTGACTATCACTCTGGATGAAAGTGATTCGTTTGCAGCGTGGGTGGCAGCTAAAGACGCTGGCTTTACAAATCCAGATGGCTCTGACCCGAAGTGTAAAGTTGTCTTAGTCCATAGTGTTAAATGCATATGCTACAAAAATTCCCTTTTTGATAGGGGCTTAACTATGGGAACTTGTTTCCACCGTGGAGTATAAAAAATGTAAAAGTTAATCTTGACTTTTTTCCTCACAACTCAGACTTTTTTTCGCTCGCAATTGTGAGTTATACATATAGTCATTTTGAACTTTTCTCAAAATTGTGAGTTTCTCATTTTTTTTCTCAGAAATAAAAAAGTCTGAATTGTGAGATAAAAAGTTGCAATTCCCTTTTTTTATTTTTGAATCCACGGCAAAAACAAGCTTCAATACTAGACTCTTACTAGATACTAGACTTGTTTGCTGTCGATGCATTTTTGAGTAACTGAAAAAAAGATTTTTTTATTATTACTGTTAAAGACCAGGCACCTATTGTAATCGTTAGTGTTGTTCTTCTGCTTTTGAGTCTATAGCCACCCATAGAAATGCTTAAGGGAAAGTAATAAAATTTGGTACACAGGTAAAGCAAAATCTGAGCTGTTACCATAGCAAATTTGGAGTCTCCAACTCAAACCCTCTAGCGCCACCAACTGTCCAAATTTGCACTCACGTTTATGCTAATAGCTTTTGACCCGCTATTTTTGCTTATAACTTCTGAACAGTTTGGCCAAAAATCACAAAACGAGTCTCTTTAAATTCAGTTAATTTTTCATTACATTTCCCATATCGCCCATTTTGGGTGACAACCATTTAGGCACTGTCGTATAATTGCGTAATTCTCTAATTGACATTGGCAGCATGTTAAAGGAGGAGTTCACTTTTAAAAAAAACTTTTGCTGATAATTTTCTCACCCCCATGTCATCCAAGATGTCCATGTCTTTCTTTCTTCAGTCGAAAAGAAATTAAGGTTTTTGATGAAAACATTCCACGATTTTTCTCCATATATTGGACATCATTGGGAACCAAACAGTTCAAGGTCCAAATGAGAGTTTCAGTGCAGCTTTAATTGACACCAGACGATGAATAAGGATCTTATCTAGTGAAACGATCGGTCATTTAAAAAATAAATAAAAAAGTTTAAGTTTTATAAGCACAAATGCTCGCCTTGCTCTGTTCTGTGATGCGCGTTCGTGACTCTCCTGTTCGAACTCGTTCATCAAAATGAACAAATCTTTTTTCGAGTCATTTCATTCAATCAAATTCATTTATAGTGCCTCCTTGGTCAAAAATAATAATGAAATTTAAAATATATATTTATTTAAATATAGATAGAAACGCTTTTAATTTAGCAACTCTTTAAAATCCTCTAAGAATATAGTTTTGAAAAACAAGACAATTAAACAACGGGATTTTAGAAGTCTATGTTTGTTTTATTTTCAACCTTACAACATTAACTCAACAGTGAAAATTATATAACATAACTATTCTTTGGGTTTCTTCATATGTTCCAGTGAATCTTGGTGGGCTTCTCCTGCAGGCCCTGTTGGAGTTCTGGCCCAGAACTCACATAAACCCAATGGAAGAGGAGGAAAATGAGCTCAACCATGGTAGGCACTTTTGTAAAAATATAGGAGAATACTTTTTTAGTTCTGAATAAAATTTACCTTGACTCTTATCTGCCATCTTGGATAAATTATTTTGCAATGCATAGATAGTCTTATCCACAAAGGATAACAATCATTTTTGCGTTGCATAGTTATAAAACATCTGATATTCTGCAATTGGTTTCTGTTTGTCTGCAGTAAATGGGGAACAGGAGAGCCGAATTCAAAAGGGCAACGGCTACTTCCAGGTTCCCCCACACACTCCTGTCATCTTTGGTGAAGCAGGCGGAAGAACGTTGTTTAGGTCAGAATGATGAAGACATTAAACTCCCCATCCTCCCTGGATCTTGTCTTCATCATAAGCCGTATTTCCTTTCAATTCCAGGTTATTATGCCGTGATTCTGGGGGAGAGACCGAGTCAATGTTGCTGAATGAAACTGTACCTCAATGGGTTATTGATATCACTGTAGATGTAAGTGTTTAAAATCCCACAATCATCCCATTATGTGTCCACCATATGGATAATGTTTTATAATATATGAACTGCTTTCTGTCCTGCTTCAGAAAAACATGCCAAAATTCAACAAGATCCCCTTCTACCTCCAACCTCATTCATCATCTGGGGCCAAAACACTCAAAAAGTATGAAGTCTATGAATCTTTAACCTAATCATATTCATTTTTGATTGAATATTTTAGATATCTCGTCAGATAAATGTATTTGAATTGTCAAAGTGATCCTATTTGAGATATTTGCAATATTTTGGAGGTTATTCATCACGGCCTGTTGTTTTCAGGGACCGTCTGTCTGCTAGTGACATGCTGCAGGTGCGCAAAGTGATGGAACACGTCTATGAGAAGATCATCAACCTCGACACGGAGTCACAGACCACCAGCTCCTCAGCCAATGACAAGCCGGGAGAGCTGGAGAAAGAGGAAGACGTGGCAGTGATGGCCGAAGAGAAGATTGAGCTCATGTGTTTAGATCAGGTTAGACCTCTCCTTCTTTACTGCGTCCAGACAAGAAAACACTCTCATTGCTCCAATGTACTCAAAATTTGCTCTTCAACATTTCATTCTTCCCAGATGCGGAAACAAATTTAAATGAGGTGACCGTTATTTAGTTTTGATTTGTTTTTTGCTAAACAATTGGCCTTTACATTGACACAGTGCAGTCCAGTAGCACTGCTTTTGTGACATCAATAACCCTTAATATCAATATTACAAGTGTGAAACATTGATTAACCCAGGTGTAAAATTGGCCATAACCCCAATTAAACAAGTGTGAAAAGCCAGTAACAGATATTAAAACTTAAATCATTCACTACCCCGCAGTTTTGGTTACTTTCCCCTGCTTTACCATTATTTTCAGGCAGGATTGTATCATTCGCATTGTGTTCCTAAAGGCCCATTCACATCAAGTATGATAAGCACAATGATAAATATAAAATTTTAAAAATTATTCCAAATTTAAAAGAATAGCTAATTCACACCATGACTAACGATATCATCGTAATCGCTTTCAGAGCGTTTTTTTTTTCTTGCTGATAAACAGTAAAAACATTGACAGCCAATCAGAATCTGTTCTGCTTTAAAGAGGCAGGAGACAAAACTGCAGTGCATGCTTCTAATAAACAGAGCATTGCTGTGAATGCTAATATAGGTATCGTTCATTGTGTGAACGGCTTTAAAGGGGTGGTTCAGGATTTTGGACATCGGGACTCATATCTAAGTTAGCCTTAGTGTTATTTATCAGTGGAGACAGTTTTCAAAAAATTTCATCCAGTCGTTCCAGTTGCATTGTTCGCCGGTGCTAGGCTAGCGCGAGTCAATAGTAACTGCTAGCCTGCCATTAAAAACAGTTTGACCCACTCCACAGTTCACCAAAAGCAAATCAATTACAACGCCAGACTTTCGATGCAAGTGTCTGTTGAGAATAATGTTAAAAATCAAACTACTCTTGCATCTCAATGATCGCATTACATTTACAGGAACTAGTTTCTCAGCAGCGGCGGAATTTTACTTTGCTCTGGTTAGTAGTAACGTACTGCGCCGAAAAGTAAACACATAACCGAAGCGCACTACAGTCGGAACTACCTCTCTCTCTCACTATCCCTCTCGGTTGCCTTGGGTAACTTAATATTACTCCACCGCTACTGTAGACTGTGCTAATAAATACAGGGAGCAAAGTATAACTATTGCAATGCGATGAAAGGCTACTTTGATTTTTAACATTTTTCTCTACAGACATTTACATCGATAGTTTGGTGTTATAGTTTATTTGCTGTCAACAGTTAACTCCCAGAAGAAGGCATGTAGCCGAAACGCGTTGGAGTTTTTTAGATGGTTAATTTGACCAAGCCATGATATTAAAGGCTTTTTAACTTTTCTATTTGAGTGTGCCTTGGAGTTCCTTTGCCTTTTCGTTATATATAGTTTATTTGCTGTTGGTGACCTGTGGAGTGGATAAAACTGTTTTTAAAGAGTAACTAAACCCTAAACCAACTTTTTTTAGTCAATGATCTGTAAGAATAGATCTTTATTAATACCAGTCATTGATTCGAGTAACTTTTTTGACATTTGTGTATAAAGTGTTTTATTTCTACAATACATGGTGTAAAAACGTCTTAGTGCTGCCCTCTTCAGGTTGAACGGTGGCTACTGCAGTTGAATTTTCCTATTGGTTGTTCCGCACTTTGTGACGTACGCACGTTTCAGCTCACCACGCTCTTGGTACGAGCTACGCCCTTGGCAGTATAAAAACCAGCTTGTTTCGTCAAAAACACTGTAGCGAGTCAGGAGTTGGAATTGCGAGTATTGAAAACGATCAGGATAGAGTGTTTTAGCATCTATTTCGTCCTCTCTATCTCCGCTGGGGTGTGCCCACTTTTTCAGCGTTTTTCAAATATTGCCAGCGGTGGGTGGAGTCAGGCTCTGACCAGGGGTTTAGATATCCTTTAATGGCAGGCTAGCAGTTACCGTTGACTCGAGCTAGCCTACCTAGCTAGACTGGATGAACATTTTTAAAACTGTCTCCACTGATAAATAACACCCAGGATATCTCGGAAATGAGGCCCGAAGTCCAAAATCTTGAACCACCCCTTTAAATGGTAAAAAATGTTAAATGCATTTTCTAGACTGTTGTTAAATGCTTGCTGTCTTTCGTAGGTTTTGGATCCAAACATGGACCTCAGGACTGTTAAGCATTTTATCTGGAAGAGCGGAGGAGATCTGACCATTCATTATAAGCAGAAATCCACGTGAGTCCCTCCGACCACTTTCAGCCCACATCGCTTTGACTTCCAGAAGAAGCTTCCCAGAATGCCCTGCTCTTCTCAGGTAGTCACCCAGGAGGAATGTTTTTTTTCTTCTTCTCGTTCTCTTTGCACTGGCTGATGTGACATAGCCAGCAGAAAGATCTGACCGACAGTTGAAGGTTAAAGACTAAAGATCGACTGCAGAATGACAGTTGTTGCGATGTTCAGTAATCAAGGACTTTGTAATTGTTCTGCCTTTGTTTCATTTTTGGTTTGTATATTTATTACTGTTGTGTTTAGCGCCGTGTCTCGTCCAGCATGAGGATGATGATGATGCACACTAGTACTTCCATTTTCAAACATTCCAGACACTTTTCAACTAGACCAGAACTGAAATCAGCTGCTCTTATTTTGCTTTTCCCACAACTATTTTCTAGGTTGAATGCTGTCGTTAGTGTTTTTTTCTATCAAGCACATTTTGCAATCAGAAATTGAAAGTCCAATGAGGAAGTCTAATAAGGATCTCGAAACTGTTTCAGCAATGCAGCCAATCAAATAAACAAACACACAAAAACAGTTCCTGGTTTTAATTCATAGCATACATGCAATTTTCACGCAAAAGAATGTCTCATCCGAATGTGTTTGTTCATTTGTGTGGATCGGAGCACATGACTGTTTGCATCATCTCCACAGCTTCCGGGAAATATGGCCCTGCCCTTGTCAGCTGTTACATTAGGACTGACTTTTCTTTTGAATAAAAGTTGAAGCTGTTTTTTCACTCTTGGTGTCTGAACATGCTTAATTCGCTTGATATATTGATCATATTTCATACCTCAAATGCTAACATTTATCAATAATGCTTTAGATATGAATTTTTTTTTATGAATAAGTGATTTCAAGTTGTCAAGGTCATGTGTGGGTTCAGCTGCAGAAACAAATTCCATAAAGCAGGCACGCTTTTTATTTATTGAACCGAATAACACACTTATTTAACACTTTAAGACAAAAGTAAACTGCATTTAGGCTAGACACAACATTAAACATTCCTCTTTATGGCGGCACGCTTCTCAGACAGTGATATGTGCATTACATTTATGTTTTCTTAATGTTTGTATGATCTGCTCCAATCAGTTCTTTCTCATCACATGTTTAATCTCATAAAGAACACAGAAAGGAAAAAATAATAAATTCCCCAAACTTTCAAAGAAAACGTAGATTTTGCTAGAGAGTTCATCCGGTTGTCACAGAACAAACTACAAAATGTCAACAGAGTAACTTATAATATTACATGCATCCGCCTATATGAACAATGACCGAAATCACTGGTTCATTCATTTGTATTTGAATTTTGTGCAGATGCATTGCACAAAAGCACAACTCACTGTATTCACATACTAAATACCAACAGATTTACAACAGGGAATCTTCCCTTTCTGTTAAAGGTAACACTCTATTGTAAGGTGGAATTAGTTAAGTAGTTACACATTCTTAAATTACATATAGTAATAAAAATAAAATATGCATAATTATAACTAACCCTAAAACAAACCTTAACTCTAAGTGTATATTACTCAGTATTTATTTAAGTAAAATGTAACTACATAACCTTAACATAGAGTGTAATCCTGATAAATAACAAATTAGCCATGTAACGTTAATCAATAGCTATAGTCATGAGTTGCATGATACAATGAAGGAATGTGCTGTTACTGCATATACTGATGCGGCCCACTAGTTAAACACAAATCTATTAGTTGAATTAACAAATCAAAGACTTTTAAAATCAATGGAATTTCCCAATCCTGATTAAAAAAAAAAGAAAATGAAGAAAATAAACTTATTAATTAGGGTTAGAAAAAACACATGAAAAAAAAAAAATCGGTAACACTTTACATGAAACCAGTATGTATAATGCATTATAAAGTCTAATTGGAAGGTTATATTGTACATTATAAGGCATTATATCTCTTTCATAAATATAAAAATTATAATATTTGCAGACTCATTGGTACATCAAAAATGGGTTGTTTGTCTTGTTTTAACACATTCTACTTTCTAAAGGTGTGCTTAATGAATAGATATGCATTATAAACTACTATAACTGGCTTTACAATTATTCATGAGATCATATAATGCATTATAAGGTGCATTCAAGGCATAATTAATGCATTCAAATATTTTTTATAATGCATTATATATACAGGTGTTAAGTCCACCTTACCAAAAAAAGAAGGGGAAAAAAATATATATATATTATATTATTCTACTCTCCAGTTACCTGTCTCTATACCACAGTCATATGGGACATTTGGGAGTAGACAGAGCACACACCCCACGATGGCTGTGCATTCAGGACAGGTTCAGGCCTGAGCGCTCCCACTGAGCTGCTGCATGCGGTCCGCCAGCTCCAGACAGTGTAAGATCCGGCTCCGCTCCGCCTGGAGCTCGGCAGCAGAGACGTCACCCTGCAGCTTGCGGGCGAACAGCACCAGATCCTGCATGAACAGCCCCACCGGCTCCCGCTGGCCGGCTGGCAGCTCGCTGATAACGCCGTCCGTGAAGTGGAGGTCGATGCGTTTGACTCTGCCCAGTCCTGGGCCTCGCTCTTCAATCCAAGTGAGAGGTCTGCGCCAGAAAACACTTGTGTTTATTGCATGTCAGGTACTGTTCTTGCACTGTACTTGCACAGGTACTTGCACTGTTCAGTTTTGAGCTATTTGATCTAAGGTTGGGTCAACCATTTAAAGGACATCAAACCATCAAAATTTTTTTGGACATTTTAATTAAAGTTTCTTTCATGATAAAAACTATTTTACTGCACTCAGCTGGGCCACTGAGTCTGTAACACCAAGCGCCATCCCATAATTCCATCGTCCACGAAGGGTCTAAGTCCCGTCTAAGTCCCATGGCCCTCTATCAGAATCCAGAGTTTCAAGAAGAATTGGAGAAACTTATTTTTTCGCACAAAAAAAAAAAAAACGACAGGGGTAACACTCGTTTTTTTGGGGGGTCGAAATTTTGAGTTTCTCTGATCTTCTTGAAACTCTGGATTCTGATAAAGGCCATGGGACTTAGACCTCAGTGCAAAAAATGGACGCTCTAGACCCTTCCAGAGCTGAGATATTGAGATCCCACGTAGCATTTATGCCATTATAAATATCTCAATATCTCAGCTCTGGAAGGGTCTAGAGCCTCCATTTTTTACTCAGGTTTAAGTCTCATGGCCCTCTATCAGAATCCAGAGTTTCAAGAAGATTGGAGACTTACTTTTTCGCACAAAAAAAAAAACCGACGGGTAACACTGTCGGTTTTTTTGGGGGGGTCGAAATTTTGAGTTTCTCTGATATTCTTGAAACTCTGGATTCTGATAGAGGGCCATGAGACTTAAACCTGAGTAAAAAATGGAGGCTCTAGACCTTCCAGAGCTGAGATATTGAGATATTTATAATGGAATAAATGCTACGTGGGATCTCAAAAAATAAAGGGGGGGGGGGGGGGCAAGTGTCACATAAATTCCCCTGCAACTGCCTGAAGATCGTTACAACGCACACAAAACACAACATTTAGAGGCTTAAATAACTGGAATGTAAAGGATGTATAGCCAAAACCAGGTGTTATCAGAATCCGAATTAACACGGATCCATCACAACATGTCGTCATATTAGGGACTGAAGTGAGTGTTGGCAGTCAGGTGCCGGAGGAGTGGAGGAACGAACGTGAAGAGGACACAATCAGCGCCACCCACTGCATCACATAAACACTGCTGGCTTATTAACACAGCACTGATCTGGCACTGCACTACTTTGTACTAGACCAAACAGCAGGTGCACACGCACGCACACACACCACACACACGCCAGTCAGTGTGTGAATCTCATCAGAACCAGATCCTGGTCACACTTCACCCAAAATATAAAGGCAGGAAATATAAGACTTACACCTGAGTGCAAAAATGCAGGCTCTAGACCCTTCAAAGCTGAGACAGAGCTGAGATATTGAGATCCACGTAGCATTTTATGCCACTATAAATATCTGAATATCTCAGCTCTGGAAGGGTCTAAAGCCTCCATTTTTGCACTCAGGTCTAAGTCTCATGGCCCTCTATCAGAATCCAGAGTTTCAAGAAGATTTGGAGAAACTTAATTTTTCGCCCCAAAAAAAAAAAAACGAAAGGGTAACACTGTCGTTTTTTTTTTCTGGTCGAAATTTTGATTTCCGATATCTCAGCTCTGGAAAGGTCTAGAGCCTCCATTGTTGCACTCAGGTCTAAGTCTCATTGCCCTCTATCAGAATCCAGAGTTTTGAGAAGATTGGGGAAACTTAATTTTTCCCCCCAAAAAAAATGTAAGGGGTAACACTGTCGTTTTTTTTTCTGGTCGAAATTTTGAGTTTCAATATCTCAGCTCTGGAAGGGTCTAGAGCCTCCATTTTCAGGTCTAAGTCTCATGGCCCTCTATCAGAATCCAGAGTTTTGAGAAGATTGGGGAAACTTAATTTTTCGCCCCAAAAAAAAAAACGTAAGGGTAACACTGTCGTTTTTTTTTCGGGTCGAAATTTTGAATTTCGATATCTCAGCTCTGGAAGGGTCTAGAGCCTCCATTTTTGCACTCAGGTCTAAGTCTCATGGCCCTCTATCAGAATCCAGAGTTTTGAGAAGATTGGGAAACTTAATTTTTCGCCCAAAAAAAAAACGTAAGGGGTAACACTGTCGTTTTTTTTTCTGGTCGAAATTTGAGTTTCGATATCTCAGCTCTGGAAGGGTCTAAGCCTCCATTTTTGCACTCAGGTCTAAGTCTCGCGGCCCTCTATCATAATCCAGAGTTTTGAGAAGATTGGAGAAACTTATTTTTTCGCCCAAAAAAAAAAAACGTAAGGGC